AGTGCTGCTGTGCATCACCAGCTGAAGAATGTGCAGCAGATCCAAGCCTCAAGCAGCGCTTTTGCTGCCATTCTTGGTGATGGATCCGTCGTGACATGGGGTGATGCAATGTTTGGCGGGCTCCACTGCATGAGGGATGTTTGAACAGGATTTATCTGCTTTTTCCCAGATTGAAATTCCCGTGGCGTTGATCAATTTTGTTTCAGCTGAACCACCTTGCGATAGCACAGAAGCCGTGACCTTGGATTACCACCTTCCCTGACATCAATATATGGGTGGAAACAGATACCAATTACAAGTGGGAGTTCCTTATTGCAATTATAGTGTAATATGCCCCAAAACCCTATTCCAATTACTAAGGCCCCTGATACCCCAAAACCGTCGTAGTAGCCCTTACAGAACCGTTTAAAGGAGCCCCAAAACCCTAAACCCTAAACCCCTAAACCCTAAACCCTAAACCCTAAACCCTAAACCCTTCTCTTTGTTGAGGCCCCTATATTGTGTCCCTGACCCCCACGATCTTGAGAGCTTTAGTCCGAGTCCTTGAGACGTAGTCTTAAAAAGCTCTAATAGGTTTAGGGTTTAGGGTTTAGGGTTTAGGGAACCCTACCTATAGTCTCCATTGTAGTTCCTTTTTTTGGTTTAACCAGTTCTAGATTAAGGATTCTATAAGGTAACCCCCAAAAGGAACTACAATGGAGCCTATAGGTAGGGGCCTAAATAATTACCCATACTATTTTGGAAGCCTTGAGGAACACTTTGCCTTGCCCTCGACGGGGCCGTCCCTATCCCCTTCCGGTGTCAACCGGCCCGAACCCCGTCGTTTAGGACCCTAGCCGACCCTATCCCCCTAGTTGCCCGGCCTGGTTCCGCCTCCTCGCCGCCGCCCTATTCGTTTCCGGTGTCAACCCGCCCGAACCCCGCCCCAACCCGGAACCTCCGCAGCTTCCCACAGTACTCTGCCTGGATTACTACTGTAGTTTTATTAAGTTTTATTGAACACTTCAGAACCGTATAAAGGGTACGATTATTTTTAGTGGAGGACCTTCAAGGATCACGGGACGTAGGGACCATTTATAACTGATTATGACCCCAATTATGGTAGTTGTAACCCTATTTATTAAGTTCAGTAAACCCTAAACCCTTGTAGGACCCTTTCAAAACCTTACTTACCAAGTCCCATGATCCTCCATGTACCCGTGCCGAACCCTTACAGTACCCTTGAAGACAGAGAAGCCCTTGAAGATCCCTTTAAGCAACCCTTTTCAGCTGCGAAGTCCCAGGGTCTTCCAAGTAGGTATGGCGTGAAGCTCCCTGGGGGTCGATAGCTTGAAGCTCAGGGTTTGGGGTTGATGGATTTAGGATTTAGGGTTTGGGGTTGATGGATTTAGGGTTGTTTTGTTTTGGGTTGATGGATTTCGGGTTAAGGGTTTAGGGTTGATGGATTGCCGGTTTGTGGTTTAGGGTTGATGGGGTTTTGTGGTTTACGGTTTGTTCATTACGGGATGTGGGGGTCTATGCGTTTAGGTTATGGGTTGTGGGGTTTTCGGTATATTGAAGGGCTTGCAGAACTCATATCTTCATAGAGGGTTAGCATGTATTGCCAAGCTCTGTATTGTAGATCCCTTCAGGGAGCCCTTTAAGTTACTAAGTCCATCAACCTCCAAGTAAGCCTTAATCCCTGAACCCTAAGCCAAAACCCTAAACCGTGAACCCTAGTATAAGCTCACTTGAGGAGCTCCCTGAGGGATGCAAGCTTCATTACCTCTACGGCGAGGAGTACTGCGCCTCAGTGCCTTGGTCCTGCAGGGTTCACTGTTTTTGGTTTCAGGGTTTAGGGCTTAGTCCTATAGGTCTCCCAGTGGGCCTTTTTTTCCTGCTTCTGTGGTCTTAGCTTCTTGATAGTAAACTATACTATACCCTAAACCCTAAACCCTAAACCCTTTTTTGTTTGTGGTCTGGGATCTTTAAGAGTTTTTAGGGCTTTAGGGCTCTAGAGGTTCCCTTGGAAGCGTAGTTTTTTTGGGGGTTACTATACGGCTTCTAGCAGGGCTTCTTGAAGAGTTCAAGGTTTAGGGGTTGAGGGCTCAGGGGTTTCGGGTTGTTTGGGGCCCGTGTAACCTACCGCACGGGATTTTTCTGCCTTCCAACTATGCTGCATCCTGAAAGTTTTGTGCTTGTGATTTAGGAACATGTGCTCTAAGGACGCGAGAGACACCAAAGTGTGTGGGGATTGCCCACGCTGCTTTGTAAGTTGTGTTGGGCTTTCAATGGGTCTTGATACGGCAGCCGAGAAGCCTAGATGCATTTGATAGGTAGTAGGGAAAGTAGTATAGCGGCCTTAGTAATTAGAACAGGGTTTGGGGTCTATTATACTATAGTTGTATTAATCCCCGCAAGCCCTATTCTAATCATTAAGGCCCCTACATTACCCTAACCCTAAGGGTCCATGTG